TCCTAGGCTCCGCCCATCTGGCGGAACGACCCGAACGCGCTCCCAGCGGCCGCGACTCTCGCAGCGCTCGTAGCCGGTACGTCACGGCCCCTGCCGCCTCTCATTGGGCGAGCCTTACCATGACGTGTTTCCTGCCTAACAAATAAATACGGGCGAGGAGACGTCGGTGGTCCGCCATTTTGTGGACGCCGAGTTGGCGAGAGGGTCTGCAAGAGCTGAGTCGGAGGGGAACCGGGAGACCCGTTGGGACCGTTTGGATTTGAGCCTCCACATTTCTGTCCCCGAATCTCGGTAAGATCCCAGCGACCGCAAGAGGGAAGTGGAGTTGAACAGGAGTCGAGTTGGGGCCGGGCTTCATGGCGGCGCCAGATTGAGACAAAGAGGCGCCGCCGCCATTTTGTGACGTTCAGCATGGGGCGGTGGCGGGGGCTCCCGGGCCGAGACGGGGATTCCTGGTTGGGAGTGGAGGTGTTTGTTCCCCTTGAATTTAGGAGTGAGCCCAGGCGAGGGGTCGTCCTTGTTTGGGGAGGGAAAGCGGATCCATAGGCGGGGAGTGTGCTAAAGGCTTCGGCCTTTGAATTTTATGGCGCCTTTTTTTTTTTTTTTTTTGCTTCAGTTTTTCGGAAGTGATTTCCAAGATTTTCCTTTTGAGTCGTTAATGATGACTGGCCACTTCAGTCCATTCTGAAGGGCATTCGTTTCTATTTCCATGCTTAATTTGACTTTTTGCACCCCGGTAGTCTCCACCTTTTTTTAAGTGTAAACGGGCTGAAATTTAGTTATACCGGTTTTAGAGCTGCTTTTTGTGTTTCAAAAAGTGTTTTTACTGGATTCGGCCCAGATTGTGGTCACTATAAATAGGATTTGTCTGGATTGGGTTTTTTGTTTGTTTGTTTTTGTACCGGGGATCGAACTTGGGACCTTGTGCTTGCGAGGCAGGCACAGAGCTACTGAGCCAAATCCCCGGCCCTGGACTGGTTTTAACTAGACCAGCCGAGTGTGAAAGAACAGCGGTAGTGTGTACGAAAAGGTGAGCTTACTGAGTAGGTTTTATTTTTTTACACACATGAACGGAAAAGTTAAACGGATTCATTGCCAAAGTGACTTTAGTATTTAGGTAATTTTTGTATGTGAGACAGTCTTGCTCTGTAGCCCAGGCTGGCCTCCCAAATGATTTGAGTATTAAAGTCTAGCAAATTTTAAGAGCCCAAAATTCAGGAAATTGTTGCATGATGCATAGGTTTTTGTAGTTTGGATTTTGTGTGTGTGTACAGCTCACTAGTATTTCTTGTACTCCAGTTTTGTGCAACCATCACCTGTAGTTCATTTTCATGGTGAGGAAATTGTGGCCGCAAGCAGTGACTCCAGGTTCCCCTACCTTCTCCAATCTCTGGCAGTCTTGTTTTTTGAGACAGGGTCTCACTATTTGGTTGAGACTGACCTAGAACTCACTGTGTATCCCAGGTTGGTCTCAATCCTCCTGCCTCAGCCTCCTGAGTGCTGGGATTACAGGTGTGCACCACGCCTGGCTCTGGCAGTCTTAATTTTTGAATCTTTGGGTTTATTTGTGGTTAGTTTGTATGCACGGAGTTATGTAATGTTTGCACTTTCTTTTCTGGCTTAGCATAGTTTCAAGGTTTTCCTGCTTTTAGTATTTAGCAGTACATTTTTCGAATATATTTTATGTGTTGATAGACGTTTGAGTAGTGTCACCGTTAGCTTGCTTAGGGTTGGGGGACTGGTGACTGAACAGAAGGCCTTGTGTGTGCTCTGCAAATGCTTTGCTCCTCGTCCCAAGGTTATATTTTAAAGAAATTTGACGTGATTTTGCTCTTTGGTTAAGTTTTCACTGCCTAAGAATTTGATCTGGTTAGTATAACAGGGTAATTGGCCTTGGTCTTGTGGAAAAGCAAGTTGCAAGTTCTTTTTTTTTTTTTTTTTTA